AAAATAAAATAAAATAAAATAAAATAAAATAAAATAAAATAAAATAAAATAAAATAAAATAAAATAAAATAAAAGCGGAGAATCCCACAGCTGATCTCTCCCTCCTCCTGTTGCAGTTATAGAGAATAATCACTAGATGGAGCTACAGAGTCACAAATCTGATTTATGGCCGCTACAAGAGTTTGTTGCCTCGCACAGTTCTATTTGGCCTAAACGGACGGATCCCGGCGGTTCCTATTCACTCACCTTCTGAGGGATGGGGATGAAATGCTTTCATTTACAAAAGCAAAATGTACACAGAGGAATTGATGAGATACTGAAGGGGAAAAAAAAAAAAAAAAAAGAAACCAACAACATTCACAGCCTTCAAAATCAAATAAATTTTAAAAGCAAACTGAGAGATATTTTATCTGCCAAGATAGACCAGATTTCTTGCTTTGTTCTGCAAGTCAGAAAGCACAGCAGACTCCTTAGCGCCTGACATGATTAGCTGAGCTGCTGCAAGAGAAATACACGAGCTCTGAGCCCTAGTCCTTATAAATAAGGTCTAACACAGGAAAAAAATGCAGTGATGGGCAAATCTGTGTCCCATAAAAATAAGTACAGCTTCTGCCTTGGGTGAAATACTTAATCCTGCACTAAAGACGACTTACAAGAGAATCTCTTTATGCTAACTGTACTGACACTGGACAGCTTTGCTAGCTTAAGGACACAGCTGAAAAGTTACCATCCTAACCTAATGCTGCATAGTTCATCAGGCTTTATACAGGATATGTGCCAAAAGGGAAGCGTTACCTGCTTTCATCTTACATCTCTCTAGGCCAACATGCAGTCCACTCAATGCCTGCAGTCCCGGTCTGCATGCAGGATTGATAATTTCATTTCCCAAGAGAAAGATGGATCTCTGCATCTTGCAAGGGCTTTGCCTGTCATTGCCAATACTTCACAAAATGACAACCAAACCCCAGGGTTTGGTCCCTGCAAGTGGGACCGCACCGTCCTTTCAGCACTTATCCATGCATTTTGTGATGAGGGAGACCTCTAACCAACTAGAAGGGTCTGACATGAGAGCAGAGGACCTGTTCCCCATCCTTGGCTTGATTCCTTGCACCCAGAAACCCACAGCTTTCGGGCACAGTCTGATGCACTTTGTGACAAGGAGCCTGCTGGCACCTCACTATGGGTGCTGAGGAAAGAGAAGGCACACCTCCAGGACTGGTGGAGGGAGGACATTTCTGCCAGGAGCTCCTCCGCCGCGGTGCTGCCAGCCTACACGCCACCAGGACACGCTTTGAAACGAAGAAGCAGCAGTGAGATGCGATGCTCACAGAAAGCAGGTCGCAGCCCTTTCTCCACAGATACTCCAGCAGACACACGTTTCCCTCGAGGGAAGACACAGCATCCCTCAACTTCCCGCTCTCGCGCCGCACGTGGCACGAATGCGATACAGGAAGCACGGAGGGGGCGGGCCCGGGCCGCCCCGCATCAAGCGGCAGACAGCTCCGCCCCGCCTCGCTCCGCCGTGCCGCACCGACCCGCTCGCAGCCGCTTTTCCGCGCCCCGAGATGCCGTTCTTCAGCGTGCCCAAGGAGGTGGCCGTCGGCACGGCCATGCTCGGGGTCGCCTTCGCGACGGGGCTGCTAGCAGGTAAGCGGCGCGCTCTCTCTTCCTGCTGGGCCGCAGCAACAAGCGGAGCCGGAGCCCGAGTCGCGCCCTGCAGCCTGGCTGGAGAGATCGGAGCCGAAGTCCTCTCCAAAGCGGCCCGCTGCCTGCCCCGCGACCCCGGCCGGGCAGGAGCACCGTGCGCTGTGCTGCGGGCGGCAGATGCTCCCGCCCTCGGGGGGGGTCGCGGAGCTGAGCGGCCGCGTCCCGCGTGACACAGACCGCCACGGGCGGCGGAAGCCGTGGGGCGAAAGCGCTCCTTGGCGGCGTTCCGCCAGCAGGAGGCGGGAGGGCTGAAGTTGGGTTCGATAGAAGCGCGGAGCCTGGGGAGAGGCATCAGCTGACAGCCCCGGAGCCCGACGGCTGTCATCTGCAGAACGAGGGCCCCAGGCTAAGGAAACGGCGCTGGCGCTGCCGTGCGAAGGCCATCCGATGTGTCATGCCCCGGTCACGTTTCTCTCCCTGCGCTTGCCCCATGTCTTGCAACACTTGTCCCTTTGTAGCCCCATGAAATTACGTGTCCTGTAAGGTCAGGCTGCCTGGGGGCCTTCACCTCCAGCTGCTGAACGTCTAACCATCTCATGCCCAATCCTTTTCCGTTCAGTCTTTGCAGCCTTGAGCTGTACAGTTCAGAGGTGTATGTATATATATCTATATGTGTATATATACGCATATGAAGTCCACTGAGCTGCCCAGCTGCATTGCATCTCTATTTTTCACAGCAGTTTTCAGAGCAAAGCACTCTAACTTCGGTGCTTTTTTTCTTTAAGCAGCCTATAGCAGACAATTGCAAAACATCACTATTGGAGCTCCAAGTTATCTTATTTTTTTATTATTATTATTTTATTTTATTGTAGGTAAAAGATATCCATCCCTATTGTTTGGGACATCCAAACCACACAGGAGTATTATTGGGAAAAGCAGCCCTCTGTGGCAATATATACTGGATCATTCCTTGAGGGAGCATCCAATTCTCAAGAAGCTGCGCCTGGTCGGTATTTTGTCTCCCAGCATAGTTTTTTCATTTGATAGTATTGCTTTACATTTTCAACATGCCATCTTATCCATGTGTTTGGACCTCACTTGCCTTTACCACGTGACTTCTAGAAGTTAATTTTAGTTGACATATAAGGAAACTATCTGAGAGAGGTGATTGCCCCCAGCCTGCTCCACAGCTCAGAACAAGTGCCTCCTGCTTCACAGCTTGGTCTGACCAAATCAGATGTAATGTTCCCATACAAAAGCAATTGAATATTATATACTGGGGCTGGTTGGTTCAAATGGGACCCAAGAGAAGAAAGGAAATTGTAGGAAAGGAAATTGAAATTCCTTTCCACTGAACTGCTATGGCATAGCTGCTTCTCCTGCTGTCCTTTCCACAATGCCTGGGTCCCTCCTACCCTGACTCCTCCAGCTCTGTGCTGTGCAGCCAGAGCTACACAGACCAACCTTCAGAAACAGGCTTGGACCTGATAGTTTAAAAGTGGAAGAACCAACCAACCAAAAAGAACAAAACCAACACAAAATCCACATCCTACATGTCTTGGAGGTTTAAGAGCAGCAAAGCTTGTTATTAAGAAAATAAATAAAAAATACCCACTTGTGTATATGTGTAGAAATAAAGGACATTTACGGTCAATACTCCACTAAGGTTCTTCATCATTTACATTTCTGAGTTTGCTACAGCGATGGGGTAACTTTGGGGCACATCTCTGCTTTGAATAACCAGTCAGTGTGTACGACCTCCCACCATCCATCTTAGTTATTGTTAAATTCAAAACAATTTCTATCTCATAAATGGAGCACAATACCATCTAAAATGAGAAAAATAAGAGTATATATTTTCTCTAGTTTGGAGGTGTTGGGTTTTTTCGTTTGTTTCCCCCTCCCACCCCCCCTTTTAGGATATTGGTTTGGGTTCTTTTTGTTTGTTTGTTTGATGTATTAATTTCTTTCCCCTTTTTAGCTCACTGCAGAATATCCCTGGGGCAGAATGATGGTGTCCTGTGACCAGGCTCAGCTGATGGCAAATTTAATCAAACTCATTAAAGCCAAGAAAGTTATTGAAGTAGGTAAGAGTGTCACTTTGTTTTGTCTGTAGTAAAATCTCCTGGCTGTGCTTGTCCAAATCCAAACATGTTTACATAAGATAACGTTATCAAATACAATTAAGGTACTGCATCTTTGTGTCAGCTTTAAGGCGGACAAGCTACAGTGTGAAAAGCAGCATTTGATTTGCACATACTTGCCACTTGCATTTGGTATTTTTGTCATCAGCATGTGTGTCTCAACAACTCAGAGGCAACCTGAAATATTAGGCTAATGGGTCACTTGGGTCTGCAGTGTTGGCCAGCAATTTGCTGCAGAAGTCCAGCACCCAATTCATTTCCCTTAACACGCCCATGTTAGAAGGATCTCCCAAAGCTGCTGAGCAGCCAGGTACAGGTCCCACCACCTCTACCGTTGTCATCTCTTATGAAGCCCTCATATTTTGTTCCTGGGTCGATGCAGTCCCTTTGGCTCAGAATTGAGCTCCACTTTTAAATAAGTGGGTGATCCTCAGATATAGGACTAATTTTGCCTAGCACGTCCAGGAAACCTTTAAGGGGAAGAAATAAAGAGGCACAACACATTTCTTTGCTACGAGATGGATTAAAATAATCTTCCTAACTCCCATAATGTTTAAATTGAGTGGAAAGCCTTTTGAGTCCAGTAGCAAATTGCCATCCTTGATTCTAATGTTGTTGTGTTTTCTTTGTTTTTTAATGCTTATTATTCCTGAAAGGAGCATTCTATTTCACTATTCATCAGTTTTGCAGAACATTATAATTGTTTATGGCTTTTGTGATTTTCCTAGGAGTTCTCACAGGATATAATGCCTTGAGTATGGCACTTGCCCTGCCAGATAATGGCAGAGTTATTGCTTGTGACATAAATGAAGATTATGCCAAAATTGGAAAGCCACTGTGGAAAGAAGTAAGTACCACCTTAACTATTACATGTTTGCGACATTTCTTTTGCATGACCAGGAATTTTGGTATCTTAGACTTTTACATTCACACACAAGCATTCGTATTGTTATAACAAGGGTTGCTACAGCTTATTTTGAGAGGACAAATAATCTCTTTCTTTCTAGAAATCCTAGAAATAATAGGAAAAGATATCTGAACACCAATCACACCTTCATTGCAAGATACGAAGAGGTTATTTCTTGAAAACTTTCGTAATCTCTGTGTTCTTTTTCACCCTAGGCAGGAGTAGATCATAAAATTGACCTACGGATTAAGCCAGCTACTCAAACACTTGGTAAGTAACCTGAAATATGCTTTCTTTCCTTCCTTAAAAACCGAAGACAAATACAATGCTGATGAAATCCAAGGAATACAGTATTGGATCTGATAACTTTGCTAATAGTGAAATAGATATTCTTACCTGAAGAATTCCTTAAAAAATTAAAAATAAAAAAAAAAAACCCAACAAACAACCACAAAACAAAACACAACTTTACAAGTTTACGGTTTTGGTATGTGTTAGCAGAGAGGTGAAAATGCTTATCCTGTGTAGCAAGCTACGCTGGTCACTCAGTTGTCCTGTCCATTGCCTTGTTTAATCTATGAAGTATTATCAGCTGCTTCTGGAAAAGCTGATTAAAACAGATTAATTAGACAAAGCCCAATTTTTCTTATCCAGTGTCCATTCTAAGTAAGTGTAACTCTGTTGTAGAGAGGAAGAGTCTTCTGAAAGAGCTGCAGTGTGAGAAAAAAGAAAATACAGAAGCCAAGATAAAACTTAAGGTGTAGTAGGTGATTTGGGTTCAAAGAAGTTGAGACTTAGGATGCAGTAAAACTATGCAGGGCCATTAGAATAGCAGTGGCTTTTTTCAGTCAATAAAAGAAGATGTAGAGCAAAGGGAATAATAAATATACTGAAATGCAATAAAATTGTTAGGAATGCAGGAGGTATTAGCAGAATATAGAAGGATTCTAGCAGGGTTGTTTGATGATCCATAGACCCATCCATCACCTTGTATTACTTCCAAATTCATTCTTCTTTTCTAAAGAGGAAAATACTAGCAATCTGCCAGGATGCACAGTCCTTGAAGTCTGATGGACAGCTTTGTCTAGGCAATGCTTCAGAAAAAAAATTTCTTATGACAGAGGATGAGGGTGGGAGAGCAGAAAGGGAGCGAATCTTAGGAAGACAGCATCAGCCCCTTTGAAACAGCAGTTTTGAATTTTCAAGAAGACAATTTATAAGAACTTAAATCTAAGTTCCACTTGCCCTGGCCCAGAGAGGAATTACTTATAGCTGTCTTTTACTGTGCTGATGATTTTTGGCAGCGTTTGTTCATGACCTGCATCGTGGCACTTGGTCATCAATTAGAAACTATCATACAGGACCTGCTCCTAAATGAGAGAAAAACACTAATCCACTCCAGAACACAGTTCTTTATCAGCTCAAAACACAACTAGAGGTGTGGAACACATCCAGTTTCAGACTGCTTTGCTTACTTCTGCTGCACCATTCAGCAGCCCCAGCTGTATCCTGTGGGTTTTCATAACTGCTCCTTGAACTTCTTCCACATTGGCAGCACTCAGTGACCTGGTGTTTTACGATAGAAACCAAGCTGGGTAAGATGCATATGTGGTAAACATTACTGGTAATTAGCTGTGGAAGAATAGGCTGCCTGGTCAAAGCACCAAACACATTATTTAATGAGAACATCGACAGATATGGATTACTTCCTACCTTTACGCAGCATTACCCAAGGCATAACGACTCACTTTGTTGCCCATCTAGATGAGCTGTTGGCTGGTGGAGAAGCAGAAACCTTTGACTTTGCTTTCATTGACGCGGATAAAGAAACCTACAATGAGTACTATGAAAAATGTTTGCGCCTCATAAAGAAAGGGGGAATAATAGCTATTGATAATGTAAGTACTGTGGTTGTAGTGGTAGTAGCATAGGGAGTTAATGCTTTCCCCTCTGGGAAGGGAAAATAAAGTCACAGTGGGACTCTAATAACTTGATTTCTCACCTGCATCTCTATTGAGAGTTGCAACATCTTTGTTCCATATAATACAAAGGAGGCTTTAAAATTCAACAAAAACTATCAAAGTAAGCTTTATGCAACACTATATTTAGAACTTCTTGCGCCCAAAAGTAAGAAGTAGTTGTTAAATTTATGTTAGTACCTAAACAGCCTGAGATGAAAGGTTTATTCGTTACAGCTAATGCTCTGTATTAGTTTGTTTTGTCTTGTAGTGTTTTCTACTATTTACACAAGAAGTAAGGTATTATTTGTAATCAGTAACTACTTATAAGTTATAAATTAAGGACTTTTACTAGTAACAAAGAATGATGGTAAACTTTAGAGACCTTCAGGTTTACGGTGTCAGCCAGATAGGGGCTTTTAGAAATACATTTGTCATACTTTTTGTTTGTTCTGGCTTCTGATCTGCAGTAGAAGTATGGTTACCCAATTCTGCAGACTCCCAGTCCCACTTTATTATGACAACTCTGTGATGGAAACCATTAGCAATCTGAAATAAGATATCAATTCCTAGAAAACACACATAATCTTTTCTAGAACTTCCTCTCTAGTCCAGGGAACTTACTGGAACAAATGAGGTGCATGACATTGCTTTTTTCAATAGGTTCTTCGGTGTGGAATGGTGCTAAAACCAAGAAAGGATGACTTGGCAACACAGAGCATCCACCAGCTCAATGAGAAGCTTGTCAGAGATGCACGAGTCAATATCAGCATGATCCCAATGGGGGATGGAGTGACATTAGTGTTCAAGTTGTAAATGGAGGTGTCCCAGCACATGGGAAACAGCAAGCATCAGATCACCAGCAGAAATGTAGCCAGAATGCTGTCAAAAATGATTATTTAACCCACACCTCCACAGCACAGCGCAGCTTAGGAAAGTAGACTTCAGAATCATCAAGACTCTAAGGGCAGCTAAGTTGAGGAGAATGATTTGCTTGGCAATATAGTGTGGCTTCTTATTTTAATAAATTATAATAAAGGAAGCATATTAGAAAATTACCTTTTTAAAACAGTGATTAAAAAAAAATAAATGAATTTGTGTAGAATGACTGACTTCCAACTACGTCAGTACAACAAAGAGATTTTCTGTCCTGAAAGAGGGTACTGAGTCTGAGACAAAAGGAGGGTACGGACACAGGGAATTAAAACATGGAAACATTAAGTAATTGAGGCAAGACCATGGAGACGACCAAAATCACCCTCTGAAACAAATCTTAACCACTAGAATATTCTTCCCTTATGTTTTCACTGATTAGAAGGGACATTAATTGCACCTTCTACTGATGAGGGGTAAGTCCTGAATTTGGACAGGAAGAAGGGGTTTAAGTAGCAGCTAGATAAAGCACTAGTTAAGCTGAGAGAAAATAAAAACTGCTGATACAACTCAGCACAAATTTGCATTAATTAAGAGCAAAAAGGTCACGCTTTTTAATAACTAAGAAGGACAAAGCAAAAAATCTTGTATGTTACTAAGAGATCAGAGGAAAAAAAAATCCATTTTCTGGTTGCCTTATTGCTGTTCATTTTGTTGGGTTATTTCTGTGGAAGTCATAGCAAGATGGATAAAGAAGTGGCTAAGGTACGTTTTGGTGACACAGTTTTGAGGATTGGAGAGGAGGGCAAACACTAGAGAGTGAACTTGGAACTCACATACCATTAGTCTCAAAAAGCAGCATCAAACTGATTATTTTTGAGCTATTTAGTACTTCTCTACATACTAAGAATCCATGCAGGTAAGAGTGTTCATCATACTGTTTCTGTGGGTTCCCATCTGTTGGGAACATCTGTCTCAAACTAAAAGAGTGAATCTGTCAGTTTCACTGGGACTTCACACATCCTGCATGTTTCTAACAGAACTGGGCCAATAAAATCCCCCTTTTTTTTCCCTAGTTACCGTCACTGGCTTAGACACCTTGATTTTTTAATGACAGTGTAAATAAACAGAAGGTCAAGGGGTCATTGTCCATGAAAGCTCTAGAGGACACTATTTAATTGAAAAAGTCCAAATGAGAATTTATTTTGGTGACTCATTTTTGTGTGATAAGACTAAGTAAAAATTACACACCTTCTGGAGAAGACTACATTCTCTTATTATTAAGATATTTGCTAGGTGCTACGAAGCACCAACAACCATGGAGTCCTTCAACATAAATGGGTAACTGAACTCATTTTTTTTTTTCTTTTAAGGCAGGAAAAATGGCACACATAACTGACATTCACAGCACTTGGAAGCTGAGTTTTCTGCACCGCCGGACAGCAGGCAATGGTAGTTGAACTCAGGAACCTTGCTCTTAATAGCAGAATAACGAGTCCTATTGTCAAAAGGAAAAGAAGCAGAGTTTAATGTTAAAAGTTATAACAGGGAAAAAAAAAAATTGTGCTAGGATTCTTGAACCAGAAATTAAAAATTGCTGGTAATTATTGAAGGATACTGTGTTCCTACTGCTGCAGTGGGAAAGTTGTGAGGAAAGGAAGTGGTGCCTGCTGTGTCAGAGCAAGGAGATCTCTGTTCTATTTCCGTCTCTTCCAGTTAAAACCCTGATTCAGCACAGCACGTCAGGATGTACTTAAGTACTTTACTGAAATGAGGGCTAGCTGCTGTGATGTAAAATCCGTGGGAGAAGGCCAGGACAAGGTGTGTACGGCCCTTCCATGAGGTTTTAAATAGGGCATAAAGCTTGCACAATTTATTTCTCAGGGTATAGTTTTACCCTTAGAGCTGCCAACCTCTTTGTGCCTCAGTGTTCTTATCTATATGAAAGAAATAACACCTTAGTGAAGTCTTAATGATGTAATAGCTTTCAGATGGAGAGGCTAAAGAAATATACAAGGTCATCATGTTTTCATGCAAAGCTTCTGGCTGTGTTCCACATTACAATCTTACTTAAGTGGATAACAAAAAAGGTAAGGGTTACAAACAATACTTACACACTTGAACTGGCTACATACTCTTCATGTTTTGGTCCCAAAGGGCTGTGTACCTTCCTGACTGGGCTTCCAAACCAAGCTAACAGCTGCCAAACATTGCTCTGCAATGGCACAAAGTCCCTTTGATTTCTTTGAAGTTCTGTAAGACTGAAGGCTCTACCCTAGCAAATAGGATGGAAACAAACAAACCCACTCATACCTTACCCTCAGCAGCGTCCAAGACTATATTTAATTCCTGCTAGAGATCATAGCATTGTTTGTAACATCTCCATCAGGAGACTGAAACCAAACTGGCTGTACCCATCTGGTGAGCTCACCACATAAGGCAGGCAGTGGGAAAGAAAAGTGGTACCTGGTTTTACAGGGAAAGCGTAGATAATAGATGAGAGATTGAATAGATGAAGTTCCCTGAAGGACTTAGATCATCTGAGCTCTATCAAAAGCAGGTTTTAATAGATTATCTCTGCTGAAAGGCAGAAGGATTCTGTTCTTCAAAACACCAACATTAAGTGTTTCAGGGATGTGCAGGCAAGTTTCACTGACAATCTACTGACAATCTGAAAAGGCAGATACACCTAATAATGTATTTGTCATATAAGAACATTGAACAGACAATTCTATTTTACTCAGTATGAGGGCAAACTGAAATGAACTAGAGCTTACAAAGTTCAGTGAGTGAAGCAGCTCATCACTGTTTCATCACTTTTGGATGCTGCTTCGTGGAAGTCAGACTACACCACACATACAACTACACAATAAAAGTGAGCACAAAGCATTTAAAGATACTGATTTCTTGTGTAGGAGAACAGGTTTTGTTACTGATAGATTATTCTAAGCAGGAGGATGAGACAGAAAGTGAAGTGTGATTTCAAATCTTACGGAATTATTCTTTGCATCTACTGTAGTGTGGATCTGCTGCAAAGGTAGCTACAAGCTGGTAAGAATACGTGCCCTGATCTAAAAGTTATGGCCTTTCCTAAACTTGCAAAAGTCAGTGGATGACTATCACAGACTGTAGTTAATAGCAAAATCCAGGTTATCTTCTCAGTGAAGCAGATCTAAAGAGTCAGAAAGTTTCTGAGAAGAAATGGTCAAATAACACTTCAGCAAAACTCAAAAACAGTTTTTGACTTAATGAACTCCTCCTGCTCCTTGAATGGTGGGAACTGGCAAAGTCCCCATCACCTCGGCTAGCATAAGACTGATTTTGTTCAGATGGCACTGTTAAATGCCAGTCTGAATCTGCATGCAGCGGGGCTACCACATCGCCTCTACTATGGACTCAGCTCCATTTCAAATATGCAGAGTGTACTGCAAGCATTTAATCAGACCTGTCTCCATCCTGATCATGTAATTACCATTAGAAAGAATAGCAATGTGTCCCTAAACTATAGATTGATGAGCCATCTGTAAGCTGAAACAAAGAGCAGAAGGAAGCTTAATTGAATCAAATATTTAGAATACATTACACTTTATCTTGTAGTTACTCAGAAGCTGGCCTTCTCTTCAAGCTCCTGCCCTGCGTGTCTGGAATTCATCACTACTAACTGCATTTAATCCTTCAACCTTACTGTAAAGTGACTGCTGATAATGTATAATTATGGTTTAATTCAAGTGGTGAATCAGCTTTGGGGAATCTGCGGGGACCACGGGAATTTAGGCTTTCCTTAGGTGGTGAGAACAGACCACACGACAACACAGCATGAGTCTTTGTCTCTCTCTAATGGCGAGATCATGTATGGAAGCTTACAGGTCTGAACCTGATTCCCAGCATCACATCTGTTGCTCACACAGTATAGGCTCACCATTTTCCAAACTAAAGACTTGCAAAGCGGAATTAGAATCTTTTAGTAACTGCAACTCCAATAAGCAGCCAACATTCACTCAGCATAAAGCAGCGCATGGCAACACTGCTGGCCTCTTCCACTATATCCAGAGGGAAGACAGCAGGATCCTGGAGTTACCTGCAGCTTGGGAAGCACTCAGGACTGAGCTGTTGAAGTGCTTTTAGTCTGTTCAAGTTTAACTACATCACACATGGTCAGCAATTCCTGTGAACTGCTTCTTGAAGACAATTGGTGTGCTTCTTGTGATAAAGCCCTTAAGATATACAGAAAGGAACATGACTAAGCTTCATCCAAGTCCTCTCCTTTGACACACGAGCAGCTCCCCAGCCACTCAGGAGCAAGGACCTGGCACGTACCACATCTCAGGCCCTGCAGCCTTGCTGATGCTCAGCACAGCAGCAGTTGATGAACCTTGCAGCTGCAGCATGGCCGTGCTGAACAGCTCCAGATGTTCTTCCTCGTGAGGGATGTGCCATCTCATTTAAGGAGCCTCTGAGCTCCCCACATATGGATTCTGGACTGATTACCAGGTGTTTTCCATCAGTTTTTATTTTACTACTCCTTTCATTTCCACTTCAGCAGCACCACTTTCTTATGCTTCCCAGAATCAACATGTGGAAAGCTGTAAGTGCAACCAGAGAGGCCTTCCAAGCAGGGATTTCTGACCGGATACCAAGCAAGAAGTACTGGGCAGGGAGCAACCAAGCTCACTGCTGCAGGTACTGCCCCATGTTTGCTCCAGGTTCAAGGGCTTGCCTCAGAATAAAGCATTACCCCTGCCTAAGTCTAATCACGCACAAATTGGTCTCATGCATTTGCAACTACTCATGGCTTCTAAGTCACCTGGTTTATAATAATAATTTTAAAGGCAATGTTTTGGAAAAGGAAATGAACAAACATAAAACCTTTAAAAGAGGGAAATTAATGTGGGATTTCAGACAAGTTATTTGTCATCCTTTCTGCCTCTGTGCAATACTGTAGGGATAAGCACATAACTAGCTGCTTTAATATTTATTCCTATTATAGGAAAAGTAAACATTGCTGATAAGTCACCGCTTTCCAGGATTAGATTTCATATTTTAGAGACTGCTTTAAATTAATGCAGAAGCAAACATCATCTTTTCTTCTTATTCATATATTTCCCTAATGAGTTCCAAGCAAATTGTGCCTACTTATATTTTATGATTTTAAATAATTAAAACATTTTATGGAGGCAACTAAAATTCTCCCCAGAGTTAGCAGAAAGATTATTGATTGAACAGATCTCAAGCTACAAGGAAAAAATTATTATTTAGTTTAAAGGCTCATAATTTTATCCTAGTATTCAGCCTACTGAAAAACCAAGGGATTGTGCATTTTTACAGCAACCTTTTGAGTTATGCTGGGGTAGGGACACGGGGTTTGTTAGTAAACTGAAAGCAGTAACTTTCTGACACTGTGAAATTATATTTGCAAATGAGTTAATGAGTGTTATTACTACTGGCACAAGTAAATACAATGCCCAGCTACTGCATGCATGTAGAGCACACGGGATGAAACCAAGTTGTACATTCAAAATACCCCGAATTCAAATCCCCCCAGATCCAAAACATTGACAGAAGAGTCTGCTTTCCAGGGGAGAAGGGGCTTACAAAACACCCAGTGTCAGCACCGCACTGCCACAGGAGTCACTGATACAAAGAATCACAGAATCCCAGGGATCAGAAAGGCCACCTGGAGACATCTAGTCCAACTCCTCTGCTAAAGCAACAGGTTGCACAGGAGAGGAACTTGGCAGGTTTTGACTGCTTTCAGGAAGGGAGAGCCCACAACCTCTCCAAGCACCTACACCTGGTGCTCTGGAACAGTCCTCAAAGTAAAGGAGTTTGTCCTCATGTTCAGATGGAACTTTCTGCATTCCTGTTTGTTGCCACTGTTACGTCACCGGACACCACTGTAAAGAGCCTGACTTCATCCTCTTGACACTCTCTCTTCAGATATTTAGAATCACAGAATCATTAAGGTTGGAAACTAGGACCATCTAGTCCAACATCAACACATCACAATACAGCCAGGTCCCTCAGTGCCACATCTCCATTTTCCTAGAACACCTACAAGGACAGTGACTCCACCACTTCCCTGGGCAGCCTGTTCCAGTGCTTGACCTCTCTTTCAGAGAATAAGTTCTTCTTAATATCCAACCTAACCCTCCAGCACAATTTGAGGCCATTACTTCTTGTTCTACTGCTGTTACCTGGGAAAAGAGTCTGACATCCAATTCACTTCACTACAACCTTCTTTCAGTGAATTGTAGGGTGTGATAGGGTCTCCCCTGAGCTTCCTCCAGACTAAATAATCCCAGTTCCCTCAGCTGCTCTCTATATAAGACCTGTGTTTCAGATCCTTCACAGCTTTGTTGCCTGTCTCTGGACACGTCCAAGGGTATCAATGTCTTTCTTGTAGCAATAGACCCAAAACTGAATACAGTACTCAAGGTGCAGCCTCACCAGAGCCAAGTACAGAGGGATGACCATCACCTTTGTCCTGTTGACTGCACTATTTCTGATACGAGACAGGGTGCTACTGGCCCTCTTGGCTGCACTGTTGACTCATATTCAGCAATACAATGAATAGCAGCACCAGATCATTTCTCACCATGCAGCTTTCCAGCCACTCTGCCCCAAACCTGTAGCACTGCATGAGGTTGTTGGGACCAAAGTGCAGGTCACAACAGACCCTGCATCTGGTCTTGCTGAAGCTCAAATCATTGGTCTTAGCCCATCATTCCAGCCTGTACAGATCCTTCTGTAGGGCTTTCCTTTATAAGCGCTGATAAGATCTCAGTCTTCTTTAAGCTAAACAGTCCCAGGTCTCTCAGCCTTTCCTTCCACAGGAGGTGCTCCAGGCCCCTGATCATCTCTGTAACCCTTTTCTGGACTTTCTCTACAAGATCCCCATCTTTCTTGAGCTGGGAAGCCCAGAACTGGACACAAAATTTCATATGTGGTCTCAGGGATTTCTGGCCTGTAGCAGAATCCCAAGAGGCAGCAAAAACCTCCAGCAGGGAGCATGAAAAAAAAAAAAAACCATCCACAAACAACTAAAAGCAAAACCAGACAAATTTCTTGAAGAACAGGTGAAGGGAAACTTGCAAAACTATATTCTTACAAATGTAAGTCAGAAAGACTTACTCGAAGATGTGCATAAGAAACCTTACACTTGTTCATGATGTAAGTTTACAATTTGAAATGCTTCTTTTTTTAGGAAGCAAACATTGGAAGTTTACTTTTAAAGGTCAGCCAAAAATATATCTCCTTGGAGTAGCTTAGAGTTAAAAGAGGAATCACTTAAAAGAATATATAGGTGGACCAATCCAAACTGGTGATTTTTTTAAGACCATTATTGCTTACTCTGGAGCAAACTCCACACAAGGCCACAACAGCTGTACAAAGGCAGCAGCAGCATCTCCCCACCACCCCGCACAGGGACTGCACCTGCCTGCAGCCCTATGAGCAGAGATGGGCAAGGTGCCTGCACCCACAGTCCCTCAGCCTCCTGTCAGCAGGCACTGCTGTGCCAACTCCACCCAGTCACCTTCCACATCATCCGGCCACCTAACCGTCAGCTGCCATAAAACACTCTCCCAAGCTACTTAATCCATCTTCTCAATGAAGAGTAATTAGTGGGGTCGTTCCAAAGCAGAAAGACACAGTTAATTGTGCAACTACTGTGCTGTCATATGTATTATATCAAAGAGATTAATATGGCCTGAAAGAAATCACAGGGCCTTCTTCTGTTCCCTTTCAACTGTCTACTGAGCTGAGGTAGACAGGCTCAAAAACATCCCTAGCACAGGACAGCATTAATTCTCTATCAGAGTGCAATGACAGAACCATGCTCACTAGGTCAAACCCTCAACAAGATGGTACATGAACAAAAAGCAGCAGGTTTTCCCTCCACTCCCCACTACAAGAAAGACATCAAAATCCCGGAGCGTGTCCAGAGAAGGGCAACAAAGTTGTGAAGAGTCTGGAGCACAAGATTTATGAAGAGTGGCTGAGGGAACTGGGATTTGTTCAGTCTGCAGAGGAGGAGGCTCAGAGGATGACTTATCACTCTCTATAACTACCTGAGAGGTTGTGGGGCTGGCCTCTTCTTCCAGCTAACGGCAGTGGGACAGAGGGGAATGACCTCAAGTTGTGCCAGGGGAGTTCAGGTTGGATATCAGGAAAAACTTATTCTCTAAAGGAGTGGTCTGGAATGGGCTGCCCAGGGAGATGGTGGAGTCACTGTCCATGGAGGTGTTCAAGAAAAGGGCAGGTAAGACACTGAGGGACATGGCGTAAGGCGGTCACAGGTAGAGATTGATGGCTGGACCAGGTGACCCCAGTCATCTTTCCAGCATTAACAATTCTATGATTCAAAAATACACAGAGCCATCTTTGCTGTGCCACTGGGCCTGCCTGCAGCCAGTGCATGCACCAGGCAGAGCCGTTCCTCATCTCAGGGACACACAGGCCAGAGCAGTGCCCTGCTGAGAGCCCAGCCTGCAATTCCAAACCTAATATTTCCCAACCCATGTGAGGGTTGTGTAGCACCAAGCCTTATCTGATAGATTCGACCGCTAGAAAAAAAATCCCAATCCAGCCTTCGCTGAAGTGGGTTTAACTAAGACACCAATTTGACTTGTTGACAAAGACAAACTTGACAGAGGCAGAAGTACAGGTGCATTTAATCAAAACACAGAGATCTGGGGCCCCCACTTCACTCCTGTGTAAAGTGAAAGTAGCCCAGGTACCATTAAGAACTTCTCTCTCCTCTCTTCGTCCCTAAGCTACGGTTACTTGTATGGCTACCACTGTGATTTCCTTCCTTAATTTACAGCACAGTCACTCACATGCCAGGTATGCCATCATGCCCTTTAGCACAAGCGTAACTCCAAGGGTGAATTTAAACCTCCAAATACAGACTATAATACACCCTTAACGAGAACGAAGCACATGCAGCCAGAGCCTGTTCACTGAGCACATAGAGCTTTCATGGCTGCCCCACAAACTGCATTAAACACACATGTTTAAGGCTGCAAAGCTAAGCACTGGAAGTTTACAGAAGACTAAATGTGCATAAGCAATCTTAATTTTCACCACCTCAATTATAAATGTGCATTATACACGTACTAATTTTATGGTCAAGCATTTCTGTACTATACCTCTGACTTACTTTTTCCTGACCTAATTAGAGCTCATCTTCCTTTCTTTGGGTTAAGGTGTGGAAAACCTCCAAGCAGGGAAACAGCTCACTTCAGGCAGCTCTAGATAAGTACTGGCTACATCCCCAGTCTGCCTCATACTGTGGTCATGGTTCTCCAACAGAAGTGGAGCAAATTAGGGAGCCAGGCTCACCAGCAGAAGCTGCAAGTACTTTTCTATGTTTAAGTATCTTTTCTTTCCACCTTGTGTTTGGCTTCATCTCCATAAAAGGAAATTGCATCACAACAGCTACGACAGCACCAAATCATTTTGACTGCTTCCTGTTGCATCTCCTCCAAGGAGTTAAAAAGCCATGAAGCAAGAGGGATGTAAAAGTGTAATGCACAAAGAAGAAATCGTAGGAAACAGGGATTTTGAGTCAGTGTTTGGACAGTTCCCAGCAAGGAAAAAGCATGAAGGAGCAATGCAAACAGTTCCAATGATGTACTGAAGTACCCCGGACAGAGGGAGGGCTTTTATGTCAGACTAAACATTGTACCACATCTTACAACAAACTTCAAGAAAGCAAAGTAAAAATAAAACATTTATCAAACACCGGGGG